CATGCTCGTGCGACCTGGACGATGTGGTTGTATACTCGCCCACATTTAAGACACACTTTCAGCGTTTTTCAGCTGTTGTCGACATGTCCGGCAATGGTGGCCTTCAACTAAACTCGTTGAAATGTCACATCGGCCGCCAGCAGATTACGGAGTTGGGCCACCTTCTCAACGTATCAGGTGTGCAGCCTGACCCGGAGAAAATTTGTGCCGTAGTGAGCTTTCCTGTACCCCAGTCTGTCAAGGACGTTCGGATCTTTGTGGAACTTTGTTCCTATTTTAGAAGGTTCGTGAAAGATTTTGCAACAATCGCTCGACCACTCACCAAGTTTCTGAAGAAAGACGTGATTTTTACGTTGGGTTCCGCTCAAGCTGCCACTTTTTCTCACCTCATCACCCTCCTCACAACTCCAGCTATATTGGCCCTCTTTGACCCGTCCGCTCCGAGAGAGCTAGCGGGGACTTGACAGAGTTATCGCCGACGCTAGCTGCCTTCTCACGACTGCCGAGCGCAACTATTCAATAACAGAGCGTGAATGTCTTGCTCTTGTTTGGGCAGTCACGAAGTTCCGCCCATATTTATATGGCACGAATTTATCTGTAATAACGGACCACCATGCGCTATGTTGGCATTCCTCACTGAAGGATACTACTGGCCGGCTTGGGCGCTGAGCTCTGTCACTGCAAAAATATACCTTTACAGTCACGTACAAGTCGGGACGCCTACATCAGGACGCTGACTGTCTTTCCCACTACACGGTTGATGAATTGTGCACCATCCCTGACACCGACACTTGCGTCTTCTCCGTTTCGCAACCGACCCGCATCGGTGAGCAACGCTGTGATGCATCCCTGCGAGCTATATTTGGACGTCACAAATCACCATTTTCCAACAGGTCCCATCAATCATTCGTCCTCCACGATGGCGTCCTATATCACCAGAACCTCTACCCAGATGTACCAGCCCAGCTGCTCGTCATTCTGAAACACCTCCGCTCGGCAGTTCTCCACGAATTCCATGACCTCCCAACTGACGGTCACCTTGGTGTGTCACGCACTTACGACCGTATTCGCTGACGCTTCTTTTGGCTAGGGCTATCACGCTCAGTCAGAAGATACGTTGCGGCTTGTGATACAAATCAGCGCCGCAAAACACCATCAACGCTTCTCGCTGGACACCTTCAGCCACTTGACATATTCTCAGAACCTTTTTTCCGTGTTGGCTTTGACCTCCTGAGCCCTTTTACTTTGTCTTCTATTGGCAACAGGTGGATAGCTGTGCCCACAGACTACGCCACGCGCTACGCCATCACACAAGCACTTCCAACAAGCTGCGCAACAGATGTCGCCGACTTCCTCCTACATGACGTGGTCTTGCAACATGGAGCTCCACGCCAGCTGCTTGCAGAACGTGGCCGCACCTTTCTATCAAAGGTCATAGCCGATATCCTCCAGTCATGTCAAACGAGGCACAAGCTCACTACGTCATACCACCCGCAGACAAGGGAACTCACGGAGCGTCAGGATCGAACACTTACAGACATGCTTGCGAAGTATGTTTCTTCTAACCACTCTATACGTGACATTTCCATATAATTCTTCTCGCCATGACACTGCCGCTTACTCTTCATTTTTGTTTTTCGGTCTCAAACCTACATTACCCCTAGATACAGTCAATCCATCTACCGCGACACCGACCAGAGAATATGCCCTTGACGCTGTCACTCGGGCTGCCTACGCACGCGAAATCGCCCGCACTTGCTTTCTGGCCTCTCAAGAGAACTAGCTGCGTTTGTACGATCAATGGCACCATGACAGGCACTTTTTGCCCAGTTCATTGGTCCTGCTATGGTCCCCGACTCGTCAAATCGGCTTGTCGGAAAAACTTGTTTCCCGCTACAGGCCCATATCGAGTCCTACGAAATTGCCCCTGCTGCCAAATACGAAATTGCCCCTGCTGCCTCATCCCCTTCAACTGTCCCACAGACCACTGATATCGTACATGTGGCACGCTTGAAGCCTTACCACTCTCCCGCTGACGTTTGCATCTAGATGCGCCGAGACGGCGCTTCTCACCCTGGGCATTATGCTGCATGCATGTTGACATTTTGTGGGACGATGCACGTATGTGCCTGACGAAGAGGACGAAGAGTGGTCTCCGCTCGGCGTCTGAGCTTGGTTGTAGAGCGTCCCGTGCCTTGGGGTGGTTACGCAAATTGGGAAACAAAAAATAGGATTGCGAAGGAGTTGATTGATAATGATTTAAAAGATGTATGTGTGGCCTATTATGGAATTCGGGTGCATATTATTTTTAGGCAGTGCGGCTTACAAGATGAGACACTTATTATTATTAGAAAGAGAAGCTTTGCGCTTGTGCCTTGGACTCCCCAAATTTGTGACAAATAATGTTTTGTATGTAAAAGCGCGTCTTCCACCTTTGTTAACTCGGTTTAGAATACTTACAGTTGAAACTTTCTTAAAAATATACAATTCGCCTCTGAGACTTATGTTTTTATTCAAGAAGAAACCGCATTCTTCGGAACACAATGGTCTAGACTACACTCCCCTCAGATTAGGTTCGTCCAAGCGCTGCTAAAGCCTCTCAATGCAAATATTTATCAGATTGCCATAACGAAGATGCCTAATTCAAAACTTGAAATTAAATTTGATGATATTTTCCCCTCTAATGTGAAACAACTGCCCCTTCGATGTTTAAATAATAGGTTACAAAATTACTTTACTCATCTGTCCATAAACAACATTATTGCGACGGATGCATCCGTATTGAACGAAAAGGCTGGAGTAGGCATCTTCTGTACTTCTCTCGATTGGTCTTTTTCAGTTCGATTACCAGATCACACGCCTATATTCATCGCTGAATTATTTGCTCTAATTCTAGCGCTTCGTAAACTTTTTGCAAGCGAATCAGAAGTGGTCATACTTAATGATTCTCTCTCAGTATGCACTGCACTATCTACAGCAAAAAAATTGACATTATTGAGTATGATTAGCAGTTTATTACCAGCAAATCTGAAAAATTTCACTTGCTATGGATACCTGGCCACTGCGGAATTTATCCAAATGAGATGGCAGACTCGTTAGCCAAGGCATCTTTAAGCGGACCACTCTTACCTATTTTACCTGATTTCGCCTATGTAACAGCACTCGGACATAGAAATACTTGGTTCCACAAAAAATAGACGAATTATTATTGGATAAAGTCTGAGACTTCGTACATCTAAGATTTTGCTTGAACAAACACTGGTGTGTATCTCGGCAGTTAGAAATTACAATCACCAGATTACGATTCAGAATTCCGCGCCTGAACTACTACCTGCATAAAGCTGGACTAACAGCATCTTCGTTATGTCTCTTTAGCAAGGAATCAGAATCAATAGATCATTTCGTTTTATTCTGTGAACGATATTCCTATCAAAGGAAAAGGTCGAGCCAATTGAGAAGCTAGGTTTAAAAATTAACGTGGAAGTAATCTTATCCTTCGGAGGGATTACATTAAGTTATAGCCACAGGGAGGTTTACTCTGTCGTGTGTGCGTACATAATGGCAACAAAAAGATTACCTTGTTAGTCTATTGTTATTATTATTTACGGCTACGAGACTACCTGAATGCCTGACTTAGCACACTTTATGATCCTGTCGCCCGGCTCTTGGCCAATCCCCCTTTCTGGGCGAGTGCCAACAAAGCTGAAGGATCATCATCATCATCATCGTCGTCGTCTGGTCAACCGGTCGCGCCGCTGCTGCTGGTTTGAAATATGTTTCATCCATAACCTCGTCGATGCGGCGTCTCTTATGCAATGCTCTTTTTTCATCTCATTTGCATAAGTTTCATCTGGTCTGGTATTCAGGCTTTAAAACATTGTTGAATGACTTGGTCATGCTACAAATAAATGCCTTACGATGTATTGAAGATGTATCCTATTATTCACACACTGGTTCAATATTTTCACAATACAGAAATTCAACAATTTCTTGTTACTACTAATGCCTGATTCTGTCAAGTTGTAAATAAGAATTATGCAGAGGAAGTACCTTATTACGTACAATGGCCGCCTACCAACCGAATTCTGCCAGTCAAGTCCCTTGGTATACGGAAACTTGGCATGTACCACGTCCTAGCACTAAGCGTGGATTTGAAAAGCTACATTACCGTCGTCCAAGTGTGATGAACGAATGGAAATTAACAGTTGATAGTCTGCCTATGTTGTCTAAGTGGTAAATTGTCTAAATACGGTAACTTGAATGTGCTGATTGTGTTGTTCATCAATAATGGGTGATTTCTGTAATGGTTACTTGGTTTTATTCGCTCACACATTGTCTTTTTAAGAATATTCTTGTTCGTATTTCAGAATTTATACTTCAATATTTGCTGTCGTGGAACACCTGCACGCTCTTTTCGTATTGTAGGTTTTCGCGCCCTGTTATATTTTGTTATTTCGTAACTTGGAGGTATTTATGAGTGAAGGGGCCAGTAGCCATTGACGCGCAGCTTTTTTTTTAGTTCACATATACAATGTGTTTTTTGTCTATTTGTCTCATGCCTAAATAACCTAGATCTTTTCTTTATGGAGGCCTATGATGGCTGTGGATCTGCTCTAGATTTCTTACAGTATAATTACTTAGGGTTCATCGGTGCCCTGATGCCGCAGAGCTTGCATGACCGAATCAAATGCATTCTCGTAATCTATGATAACCTGTTATCAACCATGGTTGGTTGCATTCCACGCATTTCTTTACCACCTGATTGACACTTCGAGTATGGTTCAGCCATATTATTGGTAGTAAAATGGTTGTTACCACCAGGCGTTATTTAGCGTGCACCTGAATCTAAGTACGCAGGCGCCCTGGCATATCACTCCTTGTCAAAATGCGGCCGCCATTGTGCGAGTTTGAGCCCGCGTCTTTGGGCTTAGCAGTGCGACGCCGCTTAGGTGCCCCGGTTGCCGCACCCACGACCTCCGCGTGCTGATAGTGATACGCACCTGCGCCCCGTCCTGCAGAAGCCGTTCCACGGTGGCAGTGATAACGAGGTCGGCCTCACCCACCGGCAGCCGACTCTCCTCCGGGCAGTCGTCGAAGATGCGCCGCCTGCGAGCTTCGCCTTCATCGAACGAGGCGCAGAGGAGAAGCAGAACGCAGGCCACGCGAATGGTCTGCGATGGCGGACACCACCAGAAAAAGCAGCATGGCCTACGTCGAAAAACGGAAATGAATTAACGACGCGGTCTAAAGTTTTTGTAAAGTATACCTGTAGCAGTAGCGTAGCCAAGGAGGCGAGAGTTCAATCTCCCTCCCCCCCCCCCTATTTCTCGCGTTAACCACCCTCTTCACGCCACTCATCCACCTTCGTCGCTTCGCGCTGACATGATTTCGAAACTGAGAGGTGCTACCATCACATCATCACTCCTGAGCGCTTTTACCCTGAATGATGTCTGCACACAAGAAAACATGTCACGGTTTTTGTCAAGGCTTTCGTACTCTGTGAATTTGGGCATAAATCCCGGCCGTGAGTGTAAGTTGTAAAGGTTGCTTGCCAGCGCAAACGACAGGGCAGGAGGGGACAGGAGAAGAGACGAGACAGAGCGCTGAACTGCCAACAATTTATTTATTGTGAAGGTATTCGCTTTTATACAGTTACCAGTCGAACTAGTGAGCGCTCTGTCTCGTCTCTTCTCTTGTCCCCTCGTGCCCTGTCGTTTGCGCTGGTAAGCAACCTTTATGATGTCATACCAACACGCCCAATCCCAGTGTCTCTTGAGTGTAAGTTGGCTCGGTGACGGGGTTGATGCTGCCGTGGTGGTCATACGTGTACTTGCTGGAACAGTTCTCGCTGGTGTCAATCGCAAAGATAACTTTCAATAGGCACAGACTCCTTTTAATGGCAAAAGCCTGAGACAGTTCCAAGATTTGATAGGTTACGATCAAGCATATTACAGTGATTCTTAGTATATATGCTATGATATACTCCAGCCACAGAATAAATTTTCGATTCGCACGTTGCACTAACATATAAACAAACACACACGCACGCAAGACAGAATATTTGGGTCATCCACCGAACTTCAATGGCATGCAAGTGTATATTATATTGACACATATCTTTACTATGCCCTAACAGCTACAGGCACTCCGGAGTGCCGAATGACGAAGGTGCAACAGAGGCAACCATGCAAGCTGATCATAACCTTAGAAAGGCCTACTAACATACTCATCACTTACTTAAGCTGATAAATAAAAGATGGTGGTCATAGACCTGATTTATTTATTTATTTATTTGTTTATTTATTAGTTTATTTATTTATTTATTTATTTATTTATTTATTTATTATATGTGGAGTTTACCATCCCAAAAGACCATATGATTATGAAAGGCGCCGTAGGAGTCGGGAAATTTTGACCACGTGGCTTTTTTTTACTTGCACCCGAATCTGAGCGGAAGGCCTACAGCATTTTCGCCTCCATTGAAAATGCAGCTGCCCCAGCCTGGATTTTATCCAGCGACCTGGTGGTCATAAAGCTAAAGCAGCGTAATAAAAAAATGCAGAGTGGGCAGCTGTAGTTACGTTCGCCTTCCAGTTGTAGGCGAGCGTAAACACTACACTTTGTACAAGCACGTGAAGGGGAAAAAAGAACAAAAGAAAAAAGTAACGATACTGTACACGTACTAGTCAGTCAGAAAACAAGCATGGTCTCAAGTTGGGAATCTTTGTTGCCAATTCCCTCTTGTCTACCTCCCGGAGGCCGGAGAGTCTACCACGATCCTCGTTGATGCCGGCTACTAATGTCCTGAATTTGAAAATAAACTATGCCTAGCGATGTTAACGCTCGCACCTCTTTGAGAAACCGGACTGTAAAAGAGTTACGCTGATATTTTCAAAACTGTGGTTTGGCAAGCGCAGATGTCTAGATAAAGGCAGCTTCGGCAGTGAAGTGGCGTGGTACCGGTTATTACTGAACCGCAGCCGAAATGGCGTGTCTGTTTGACCGATATATTCTTGTCCGCAGATGTTGCAATGTAGCATGTATATTACATTACAGGAGTCACAATTAAAGCTTTCAGTTATGCGGAATTCGAAGTCCGAGAAGTTCGCTTTTGATTCACGTGTTGTGACCATCTGTGGGCATACCTTGCAGCGAGATATCCCGCAGGGATGGCACTCTGATTGAATTTTGGAGGGGTTTGTTTTTGCTCTGACAAAAATGTCCTTCAGGATTTTTCGGTACACCACGTGAAGTGGCTCTGCGAAAAGTGATGTTAGTTATTTGCTTTGTTTGATTACATTGAAATGGCGGGAAGATATGTCGTTGACTGGTAGCAATAATGAAGAGCAATTTAGTACAAAGTTCCTTTGAGAATTCGTTTTAGATACTTCTTTTGGCCCCTAATTATATCATTCCGGCTCACGTTGCGAGCACGTAGTATGCAGTCGTTCATAATGTCTTTGAGATAATTTGGTTTCAATAGAGAATGCTTTAGGTGTTCTGCGTGTCTGTCAAATTCCTGCACATTAGTGCATATTAAGTGTGAACACACTTTATAAGCGACCCCAAACCATCCACCGCCGTCGGCGGCGTCCACAGTCTTCTCTCTATCTTTAAAAGAAAGAGGACTTGGTGGGCCGCAGCGCGACGCTCTACCGAATGAGCCACGGACGCGACGCTGATATCGGTGTCAGTAACGCGCCTTATACCCCCTCCCCCTTCGCTCGCTCCTCGCTCTCCTCGCTCGCTGCAGCTGCGCGCGCACCCCTTTCTCGCGCGCCCACCTTCTCTCTCAGTCTCCCGTCGAGAGCGGGTCGTGAGGGGGATTAAAGTTAAAATCCGTTGGCCTTCGCCTGTGAGGTAACGTAAACTCCCCCGTGTGATCAAATTGCGATTCCCAGGAACTATTACACCATAAAGGCACCATAGTGTGAATAATAAATATAATAGTGCGAATTAATAAATACCCCTCATAGCATCACCCCGTGAATTCGCACTTAACCATGTTCACCCTCCAGGTCGCGGGTTCGATTCCCGGCTGCGGCGGCTGCATTTCCGACGGAGGCGGAACTGTTGTAGGCCCGTGTACTCAGATTTGGGTGCACGTTAAAGAACCCCAGGTGGTCAAAATTTCCGGAGCCCTCCACTACGGCGTCTCTCATAATCAAATGGTGGTTTTGGGACGTTAAACCCCGCAAATCAATCAATGCTCACCCTCGGGGAATTGCTTAGAAGTTTTATTGTATATTGGCATGCCTGAGAATATGGAACACCCTTTTTGAAATGCTTCGGATGGCTGCTGTTGAAATTTAGGTAAATTTGCCGGTCTGTACGCTTTTTGTGAAGGTTTGTTGACAAGTGGTTATTTTCGACCGAGACAACGAGGCCCAAGAAGTTAATGCTAGTTTTGAAAATTTTGTGTGTGAATTTAATCGATGGGTGGAACGTGTTGAAATCATCTATGAAGCGGAGAAGGATTCGCTCATCGTGGTTCCATATTATAAAAATGTCATCTAAGTATCTTCTGTAGTAGAAAGATTTCAAGGTGCGTCCCTCTACGAATAGGATTTCAAGTGATCCCATGGAGGTGCTCGCAATGTTTTGGACAATTTTCGTGCCCATTGCAGTACCACTAAGCTGAAGGAAGTGCTTGCCATTGAACTCAAAATGGTTATAATTTACTACAAGTTCAAGAACTGTAAACAATACCTCGCCACTTACACCAGTTGATGAGTCAGATTTTACATATTCAGAAACCATTGCTTTTATTCCGTTATGGTGGGTTATGTTAGTGTACAGTGAGCAGACGTCCATGGTGACCTGAAAACTACCGCCTGGGATATTGGGACTTGAAGTTTCGCAGATAAAGTGGTTTGTGTCCTTTAGGTAATGGGGAAAATGCGGGGAGGATATCTTTTATTGAGAAATTAATGAATTATGAAATAATTTCTGTTGATGTGCTGTTACTGGATACTATCAGACGTCCCGGATAGCCTGTCGTGTGTATTTCGGGGAGCAAAACAGAATGGGCTTGATTATTTTTCATGTTCCGAGCTGGGACAAGGAAATGAGGAAGAAGAAGAGTGCGAGCAAACGAGAGATGCTGGGACGCTCAAGTGACAACAGAGCGCTTCAGAGCGCAGTTAAATAAGCAAGTATTTTTTGCCTTATACTTTAACGACGAAGTTTAGTCTGATTGCAGTGTCTGGAACGCCATCGTCTTAATATTTGGTGCCGAAGAACCGGGATTGAAAGCCAGGACCCTACGGACGGTTACCAGTCAACTGCAGCGGCATGGACCGACTGAAGTCGAAGCGGACGTCGCAGCGAGCACAGAACACAAGGATTATAAACGAGGCAAGTGCCCTCCTCGCTAACGACTCTGCCTCCTATCACCAGCTCAATTCCATATATGAGAGGCTGAAGGCTAATAACGAAAAGCTTAGAAACTTGAACGAGATTGAGCTGTATATAGCTGACGAGGAGTTCAAAGTCGAGTACAACGCCGTCTTACAGTACGAGGACAGTGCTACGCGCATTCTCGCAGAGATTCTCGGCAAGAAAGATCGCATGCTAAGGAAACCTACCGGAACTCAAGGAACAGTTGCCCAGACAGTCGCAGCACCATCAGACGGAACTGCAGTGAAATTGCCTATACTGACAATAGCTCGTTTCTCTAGGGACCTATGCAAATGGACCGAATTTCAGGAACAATTTGACCAAATTGTGCTTAGTAACACTCGCATCACTGCCACAGAGAAGTTTCAGTACCTGTGACTGTATCTGAAAGGAGACGCTGCATCAGTAATCGCGGGCCTTCCGACGACAGAAAGTTGCTACAGTGATGCCATCAACATGCTACAGAAGCGATTTGGGGACAAGACGCGCCTGGAGCAAGAATATTTCCCAAGCTACGGATGTTAAGCCCTGTACGCTCCTCGAAATAAAGATTTTGTTGGAAGTAAGCGCTCCCTTCTGTCCCTTCCCTTGTCCTATGTTTCTGAACGCGCTACGTCGGTCAACTATGTCTTACCAACATGCCCAACTTTATACTCTAGTCAAGCCCTGTCCGTTCATCAACTGACACCAAAGCGCTACGCAGCTTGCACGACCAAGTTCTCGATAATATCCGAGGCTTAGAGACTTTGGGTATGCACAAGTCGTCATTTTTGTCAATTCTCTGCGACATCCTACTGCATGCTCTTCCG